ACCTCTGGCAGAGGCGTCAGGCCTGGGCAAGGGGCCGATCCTGCAATTGGAGGGTGATGGGGGTCAACACCTGAGGGCTCCCAGTATGTGAGAGGGGGCAGGCTGGGCTGAGGGACACTCCCCCCCACCCCCCACCCCCAGTGCATGAATTTCGTGCACCGGGCCCCTAGTATATATATAAAATGGATTTGGTGAAATGCAGCAGGCTTCACTTGTGTTTTTAGACTCCACATACAGTAAACATCCCTTGCTGCTTACCTATGTATATCTTTATTTGTATAACAGTACGGACTTCACTCTTTGGCAAACTCATTGAGCACTTCATCTCTCCCCTCTCCCCATAACCATATGTATTAGGAGTTTCTATCCAAGATATACCCTTTCGTTACTTTGTCACTTTATGTAGAATCACAACAGTGGAGATCAGCTCTTGAAACAAATGCCACTAATCTGGGATATGAAATAATTGTTATTACTCATATGGAGTTATACCACTGAAGAGAAAGAGGAGGAGGAGAATATTTAAAACACCTCTAAATAATAATTTAAAAGTTAAAGTAGTAGGAGTGAAGGCTGTCTGAAAAGATGTATACTATTTGCTAAGATAAAATGAGTGGGAAAATAAGGCTAAAGGAAATCAAGGTTAGACCAAAAAATGTGTCCGGGGAGACCCCTGCACACTTGTGAGATAAGCACCGCATTTTAGCTCTAAGCCCTGCTCCAGGCACCTCGAAAGGGAAGCCATGCCTCATTTCAGGTCCCAAAGACTGTAAACACAAAAACTAACCAGTTGCTCAGGAGAAGTTAAACTATACAAAGAACTTACATTTGGGCTGGATCAAGACATATAGGTCAGTGGGAAAGCTACTTCTCGGCATCCCTTCCATTTGAGAGTCTTCAAAATAAACTCTTCCACATTTAGTTACTGAGGAGCTACATGAATAAGAGTTTAAAAATTAAAAAAGGTGACTGGCAGAGTTCAGCTTCTTATCTGCCATCTCAGGCAATTTTTCTCTGACCCGAAAATCCTGTGCCCCACCCAGCCAACAAAAACTCTCCAGTTAAATCCAGCCAAGCTACTCAGAGGGAAGTTCATTAAGCATATTGTTACTTGAGCATGCTCCTTGAAATTCTTAACATCCCCTCCAAGTGGCTTCTCAAAGTATTCCCTCCAACCATATGCAGTGCTCCTTCTAAAAAAAAAAATTGTGGAACTAATTTTTTTCCCATCTCATTCCAAGTCCAGTGAGCCTTATAACACAATTTTAGCCTGATATGCTGAGGCACAACCGAAGACGAAGCCCTTATTCTGTTCTAATTGAGAGCAAGACACACATCATCACAATGACATGCAGTTTAATAAAAACATTTCTACCAAAGTAGGGGAGGGAGGGGGATGTCATGAGGTGAGCAGTTTTTAATTTTGATAAATGAGAATTATGGCCATTTTAGGAGAATTTCATGGGGCAATAAAAAGAAAAAAAAATGACTGTCCAACAACAGGAGTGTCGTTGTCATAATTTTTAGATGGTTCATGCAAGTGGTACAAATATAAAAGCTTAATAAGCACACCGAATAAATGTCCTCCATATGGATTTCTATACAAAATGGAAACCATATTCAGGAACTGACATCATAAAACCAAGTATTCAGGTGTTCGGTAAGATTTCTTAAAATTCTAATGAAAACTCCAAATGCAAATGGATTTTGCACCTGTTTACTGGTTTGTTGTCTATAAGAGTATACAAATTACAAATGAAAAATAATTTTTATTAAACATTTACATTGCACGGTTTTTCCTTGGAAACACATTTGCCTTCCTAATTGTGTTCAATTTGCACAACTGTTGAAATTATCTGACATTTCTTGAAAGTCGAAAGCAAAAAAAAGCTACTTTGAAATGACAAATGACAAATCATCCATCAAATCCACAGGAGGATCAATCAAACTTGACTCACTGTGGGCTGAATACCCAGCGCCCTGCTCCTGGGGACATGACACTACAGTCCAGCCTTGAGCATGGTCTTGAGGCTGAATCGGGGCCATGGGTGGGAGGGAAGAGCAAGAGAAGAGCAGGGAGCCTAGGGCTATAACCCAGGACGACAACCAGTGATATAATTTGAGGGGCCCAGAGAAAAATTTAAATACATTGTTCTAAATGTATTAAGAATTTTAAGATGGTTTGAAGCAAAGCATCAAACCAAGCCTGGAGGTCACCCTAGTGCCAGGCCCTGTGCAGCTGCACATG